CCTTTCTTTTGATTCTTTTCCTTGGCACAGAATGTGGGTGCGAACGTTCCACTCTCGTCTATTGCTTATTATTATGCAGTTCATGACTCTCGTTAGTGGCAAAGTTATATGTGCGTATATCAGCAAGTTGTAACAATGAAACGGGCGGTGGCACAGGATGCGAGGACGTGGGGCGAAAAGTTTCGAGAATGATGGAGATTTAAGCTTGGTTGTTCTGGCAGGCGTTCCTGGCAGGAGCAACAAGCCGCCAACCGTGCCACAAAGCTGTCATATTCAACTAAATCGTGCGCGTCGAAAAATCCTCCGAACAAACGGTTTAACACAATACGCCAAATGTCTTTACGAAGCTTTCCCAATTCGCCGCGTTTGTGGCGAAATCTCTGCGTTCAACAAAAAAAAAAAGTACGCTACGACTCTCAGTGTTTGTACACAACACAAGCAAACAAACAAACAAACACACACACACACACACACAAATACTTGTATAAACAAGGCCTGCTCTCATTGCTCATTAGACTTGTTTTTATTTTTAACATATGGGGACGAACAATGAATGCCAGAAACCCACTCCCACCCCCCCAGCCACCACCCTCCAAGGAATTACCAAAGGCACACAACCAAAGCGGCTTAGTGTAGATTCGCGGCAACAACAGGAGCAACAGCGATACATAAATTCTAGTCGATTAACTCTAATTACAGTACGAACTCGATGCATGCAATTCCCCAATTTTGTATACTCTATAAAATACAGCAACTCCTCCTCCTCCTCCTCCTCCTCACAAAGAATATTACCTCGATAGTTGCAGCTTCATATTTGAATAGCCGCGTGTAATTTGTTTTATTTAAGTGTTTCTTTTCTCCTTTTTCGGTTTCTATTATCTATAATTATCTATAACTGCCGTTATTCTGCGAATTTGGTTGCTTTTGTGCATTCGAGGAAATTGTCTTTCATTATCAAATTAACCGACAATGAAATTGTTAAGACTAAAAACTAAACGAAAGATATTTACTTTATGTATCACTTGTATTTTATAAATGGAAAACAATGAGATTTATTTGTAGTTTAGTAGTTTTTGAATAAATTTGTTTTAAAAAATGAAACGAAAAGGAGAAATTAAAATATGGAGCAGCTACTAAGGTATTTACTTTATGATTACTTATATTTTATAAATGGAAAAGAATGAGATTTAATTGGAGCATAGTAGTTTTTGAATAAATTGACTATGGCTTTGGAAATTTAAATATATTTTTTCCGATGCAAAGGGATATGGTAGACGAAGAAGCCTCTATTTGGGTTTTTTCTTAAAATAACGCATAATAGAAAAATAATTGGTAGGGTGGTTAGCTTTGAAGAAGGTACGGCTGTTTCTTAATCAATTTTTCGATTCATTCTGTCTCTGGGCATTTTTTATGTACCAGGCATAGGTATTTCTATAAATTAATTCTGTTTTATGGGTATTGATAGTGTGTAAGGTCAAGAACCTTCCCACAGGCTGTTTTGCTAGCTAGCCCTTTCCTCCAACAGTGGCAGCTCATAGGATGTGCATTGTTGACAACAATTTGTTCCTTGTTTTTTATATTATTTTTTTTTATTTTTTAGGTTTGCAACATTCGTTCATTACATAATTTTTTATTGCAAATTAAGGTGCACATGTGAACCAAAAAGAAAAGAGATTACATTCTAAAATTGACTAAAAATATGGAAACTGCGCCAGAGAAACGGTAAACGCTAAAATCTTCTTAATATCCAATAATAGTTCTTGAAACGAAGACAACAGCTGTCCATTTCAATCGAAATGAACCAAAAACAAACACTTCTTAAAATAAAAGGATCAGTTTAAATACAATCATTCAAAACATGCACTGAGGAAAATGATATTCCAATAAAAGACATTATATTTATTGAGCAGAAGCTGCTGTTATTAAATGCCGCAATTATAAAGAAGTGCAAACAGGTATGTTCAAAAAATACACTTTCCAATAAAAACAAATTAAATTTTAAAAGGCTTTCTTTATCATTTTTCAAGTTATAAATTTTCCCTCGCTAGGCGCAACAACTGCCCTGGTTTCCTTTAGTTGCGATTAACCAGTTCGTACTGTAGGACAGACCACGTTCCCGTTTATAGCCAATTAATGAATTGCTGCAGCTCTCCCTTGCCCAACATAAGCAACACCCAAAAACAAGCCTATTCTACGAAGGTGGATCAATAAGTACCCGGCAGAGAGATGTTAACTTTGCCATCATATTCAGTTATCGATTGAAAGCTACTAAGTATATTATCATGATTCATGGCATACTTTTTTGCGCATTTTTTAGTTACACGTGTTCCGCATTTTCCGACAAAAAGGAAAAAGCGCAATATCGATTCATAATTGGGTTTTTCATTTTGTTGATTGGTGCATGCGAAAAAATAAAATTGAATTTGTATGCAGTCCATGGGGACCTTGCACCATCTATGACAACCGTGAAATATTGGATTAACGAGATTAAGCGTGTTGTACAACAGTTTTCGATGAAGAACGGCCTGGCCGCCCGACCGTCAGAAGTGGTTACCGAACAAATTGTCGAAAAGGTCCATGACCTGATTGGCGCTGATCGAATAAAAATAATATGCTTCACAAGCTTGGCTGTTCTGAGCGGCAGTTCTTTACTCATGCTGTGAAATCAACTACCACAACATTTATAGAAAAGTGGTGGTGCATTGCAGTTTAGGAAAAAATCAAACTTCTTAAAAAATATGTCACTAGCAATGTGAGGGGCCTGGCATAGCTCAACGAGCTAGCAGGAATCCCACAATGTGAGTTCGTTCCAACCTAGGACAGATCTTAAATAAAGATTAAAGATTTTTTACTTTTTTCAGGGATTGCGTGAGATATTTAATTCTTTTCTATATTAATTTTACTGTTATTATTATAACTTACGTATAATATGTTTACAACTAATCGTGTTTTTAAACGGTTTTGATTTAACACTGTTCCACGACTTTATTCCATTTACCACGATTCAAAATAACATACTTGTATGATCAATGTCTTCTTTTTTTACACGACTTTTTCTGGAACCAATCTACCGTGTAAAACAGAATTATTTTTTAAAAAATATTTAAATAGTAAAAACTTTAAACAAAATTGAAAATTCTGCAATTAATTCCAACGGCAACATTCTAAAATCATATACATACTTACTTTTTTACGTATATTAATAAAATATTCATACTGAAACACAGTTTCTTTGTTTTAGAATAAAAGAAAAACGTTTTTAAAACAAATTGTGGAGTTTTAAGATCGTCTTTATTATGATATTAAAAATACAATATATTCGCTTCAAGCCCATAAACTGTTTTTACAGCTGACTGGATATCACAACTACTTGTATATCATACTATATAGTCTGCATTAATTTGAATCTGGGTCTTTGATATTTGAATTTCCCAACTAAATGCAGTTTTGGAACTTTTTCAACTTAAATAATTTTGTACTAGTATTTATATTTGGTGTTTGCTTTTGTTTTGATTTGTATAGGAATTTGAAGAATTAGTCAAAAGCGTCGCTGTCTGGCGCGTCCTTCGCATTTGCGAAGCCTGTTGCTCATTAAAGTGATTTCAGAACAATTTTGTGAACTGATGAGGGCTCAAGTGTGTCGCAACCTAGAATTGGTCAAAAGATTTTATTGCCCTGCCCAAGCCGCAACCCATTAAAAGAAATCATAATTATGGGCATTCACTTGCACATACATATGAGTATGCGTGTGTGTGTGTGTGTGTATTTGCAAGAATGTGTGTTTCTACCTAATTCCACGCACACAATTAGCAAAACCATTACACACAATTCCAACCATGTTGGGGTTACTATCTGTGCGCCCCCACTTCCCCCAACAATCCAAAGCCAGCATTAACGTGCACTGAGACAAATTTTTCAAAAGGTTTTTCAAATGGGTTTTCATCTATTGGAATGCTAGTACGCATATAGCTGTAGCTTTTCCTGATCCTTGGTCGTTACGAAAATAATAATGAAGATATGAATACGAGTCTTTTTTTTTTTTTTTTTTTTTGATTAGCTTACAATTAAATAAAAATTCCTTTCTAAATGAAGAGAAGTTTGATATTGGAACTATCAAGTGATTTTCTTTTGCGTACAGTCCGAGATTTCTTGGATAAATAATAATTGAACTGAAAGTTTTGTTTTTGGTTCAATATCCATTTGATACTTGTATTTCAAACTTTTTGCACTGGCTGAGAATTTAATTGAAAACCCCCTTTTCCCTGAGTGTATACATACATGTGTAGATGTTTATATATGTATATAGTATGTATGTATGTATGCATATATATCTGCATTCATATCGTATGTGGTCCAACTCAATCAAGTGGCTTTGGGAGGTGCATTCAGATTCAGTTACAGTGCGCCTCATCCATTCGGCTTCTGAATATTTTTACAGACTTGAGTGCGTCGCGTTGTAATTTCTGTCTGGGAGCCCTCCTACTACAAGAACAACAACAACAACAAGAACAATACTGTCAACTTGAGCTTTTTGGTTGTTTTCAATAAAAACCCCATGCGGCGCACTTCAAAATGAAAAGCCTATTTCCTTTTGACAGAGACTGCTGATTCCGTTGCCATTGCCTCAGCTTCTGCCTAAAGTGTAATTAATTAATTTTGAGCTCGATTATTGTGGATCTATTGTTGCTGTTACTGCTGCTGTTGTTGTTGTTGTTGTTATTGCTGGTGTGGCGGGAGGGCCCCCAGACAAAAGCAGCATAATGTGAGATTTGCATAGCATTCGCTGTTCCAATTGCAGAAGTTCAGTGCGCGTTTTGCTTTTGTCGTGAGCACGCGGCGCCGGAACAGATTCCAAAATATACAAGTAATTCATCTAGAAATAAAGTCGATCTTCAAAGCATATTCTTATAAGCTTGATGGTCAAGTTTGTCGGTGCGCGTCTCACACAAAGGATTAAGACCTACACCACCAAGTGAACAACACACGAGTATTTGGCCAAAATGTCACACGGCGAACGCAAAGGTCGTCTAAATGTGGTCAAGTTTCTCGAACTGGTAAATGTCTGAAAGGTCCCTAGAACAATGGGATCTTAACTTAACCAAGGAAAACCTTAAAGCATCGCAAGACAACCATTTTTTCAATAACAATGGGATTATCGATTTTAGTAGAACCGAAATCTAAAAATAAAACTGATTTCCGAAAATGTCCTCTCATGGACGTTAATAGATCAACTATAGTCAATTCCTTATTGTAATATTTACTTCCATATCAGCATTCAATATTTTGGCAATTAATTATTAACAAGCTTGCCATATTTTTTGTTGCATCAAAATCTGAGAATTGAATTTACAATCATATATTGTAGGTATAAAGTAAGCTTATTACTTCCATTTTATACTTATTTCGGTATTTCGATAAATTTCATTTTATTTAAAGAACTCTATTTACTTGTAGAATACAATTCTATCCAGACAATTCTAACAGACTGTTAAAGCTGTGTTTTGGCTAAAGCTATTTTTGAACCTTGAGAGAAACTGAAAACCTTTGTAAAATAGTATCTATAATAATTCCAATACTTTTTCAATTCCTGGAATTTCATTTACAGAGGTATTCATGAAATGGAATATAAGTATTTGAACAATTGATGTCAAGCATGTTTATGAAAGATTTCAAAAATAGCTCTGGATATTGTTATGTAATCACAAGTTGTAGGGAAAAAGAAAGATGTTTCGATAAATGTATTCTAATTTGAGGTGATACTTCTACTATGTGGCCCCTGATGCTGGTCTTCTATCTACAACTAGTATAAATTTGTCTACATCTTACCCATAGGGCTTTTCAGTCGCCTGTCTTGTGCTACACTTCTACAGCTTCAACGATCGGGATATATTGACCTCATTTCTGGCAACTGGCACATTCACCGGCTATATTATAGTCGTTACTGGCGTCTTCGCAGGTAAGTGCCGCATATCGATTGTGGAATGAATAGAGCGAGAGAGACCGACCTCAGTCTTTGTCTCTTTTTAAAGGGGTTCTGATGTGTGCTCCCATACCCAAACGCATTGATATTTTCTTCAGTGTTGTCGGCTGTTCGCTCTTCATTGCCTCGGGCGTTTTCATAATCGAGGCCTGGGAGTTCTCCTTTCGCACCCGTACTCGCGATCTGGCGCTAATCAAGGCATCACTATCCATTGTGAACGGCGTGCTCTTTGGCTTCGATGCCATTTTCACGTTTCGCGATAAATGAACGATGGATGCCAGAACAGAACACGAGCCTCAAGCCTCGATCCCTGCATTTATGTACACATTGGGACCTTACATAAGGCCTATTTAGACAGACACTTATGTTGCATTAGGCTTGCAAGCTAGGAATTGTAACGGTCATTCGTATTTGAACACAAAATTTGGTTAACAGTATCATCTACAGCTTAAAAATATTAAAAAGTCGAGTTAATGGAAAATCGAAGCGCATCACTATTCAAACTAAAACATTTCTAAATTTCTCATTTGCCACTGTAAACAAGATGTAAGCTATTACATATATACGATTAGGTATAGCAATTCCTAGTTCTTCATTTCCAATAACACAAGACATGTTTAATGCAACTAATTAGTGTCTAAACACTCTCTTTTTTTTTATAATCCATAAATTGTACCTATGTTTAAGCATAATAAAAATACATACGCCTACAGACATACATATTTACACACATATTTACACGCTTCTATACGCTAGTTGGTGGTGAAGCGCTGCCCACACATTAATTAGAGAACAAATTGGTCGTCGGTTGCTTTACATTGTAATAGTACTTTTTTTTATTGTGTTTATGTATAATTTTCATCTCATTTTTTTTTTCTTGTTTTTTCATTTTTTCTTTTATAAACGTGAGAACATTCAGCAGCTCCAGTCCCCTTCCCACCAACTGCTTGTCCTCCACTGTTCTTTATGGCAGCAGTCTATTTGGCATTTTGGTTGCCGTGTGTTGCAGTTGTTGTTGTTGTTGATAATTTTGTTGGTGTTGTTGTGACGCTGCATCTTTGGATGAAAATATTTGGGGCTGCTCCGTGTTGGTTTAGTTGCTGCCGTTCCTGTTTGCTGGTGTTGTTTGTCTTTTTTATACAGTTGCTGTTCCAGTAAGTATATATAGTGTGTGAGTGTATTTGGATGCATTGTGTGTGAGTGTGTGTGGTAGTGGCATTAGGCCGAGTTGTGGATGTTCAAGCGAAAAACGTCGTGAGCCACATAGAAGCTGCCGCCACCTTGCTTCAATACAAAGACTTGAGAGTAGGCGTGTGGTGGATCATCATCGCACTATAACAATATATACATATATTAATATATATATATATATATATTGCATTGGAAGATAAGAGAAAAGGAAGAGTGATGAGTCAGTAGGTTTGAAAGCAGAAATGCAATTAAAAATGGAGCACACACACACATACACTAAATATATAGTAGTTATATCAATTACAAAATCATGCAAAAATTATAATCATTGTTAAATCGTACTGAATGCACAAAACCATTATGAATGGATGAGTAGAAATGCTTCCTGACTGGCCTTAAATAATTAGTGCACACACACATATATGTACACGTTTTTGCAATTCTATGCAAAATCTCCATTACCAAGTTCCCCCCTCTGAAAAAAATCTACATAAAAATATAATTAAATGAATTTCGAATCATTTGTCTATAACTTTTACGACAGCTATACACATATGTATGTATACAGTATTAAAAAAAAAAACACAAAAACCATGGAATCCAACGACTAGAGCTCAGACAAGCAGTCAGACGAATATGTCTAGATCATTTCAGTTTCGAATTGTAAACGATATTTTAACTTTATACTGCTCACTCTTTCAATTTTTTTTTTAACTTCTTGAAGGCATTGTTTTCATGTTATTGAGCATTTATGAAAAAAAGCACAAGCTTCTGCGCATATTGTTCAGTAATGCTGGATTTGGAGTTGTGCCAATCCACATGGAAAATGATTGCAAAATGCGTTTAGCGGTGAAGAAAACAGAAGCAAATTATTTTAAATTAGTTAATAAAGAATATGAACAATTTTGTGTTGCTTTATATCAAAATTATGTATGTTTTTACGTACAAGGCGGCTAACCCAAGCATTGAAGATGGAAGGGCGGCGCTCTTTTAAAAAATCGTTCACAGTTTAGAGTTATTGAATGCAGCCAAAGAAGCAAGGGAAGCTAAGAGCTTTAGTAGATGTTAGAAGGCAGTTATTTTGTTGAATATAAAACACATGTTGTTATTGGTGTTATAGTAGTATTTGTTCTTGCCGATGATGGATGGTGTTGGTATTTTCAACATTGAAACTTCTAGTAAAAGTTGCCAGCCGCTTCAAATCAAAAACATATCAGCAAATATGATTTTCGTTTTCTTTTACTTGGCCTGAAGTTTGCTGTTGTGGTGGTAGTTGTTGCCGATTTTTTGGCGACGAGATTACACATCGTGCAGCGCAAGTCTAAATATATCGTGTTGTACAAAGAAACTGGCACCAACAGGCTTGAGCACAAAGGTCTGTATATACGCATGCGGTTGATCCTCATCGGTCTGATATGATTGGCGTTTGCAGCGTTGAAATAAAGTTCAAGGTGTAATACATACGTGAGTACATATTTAATAAATGGATATCCCAAAAATGTTTAAATAGCGCCATGAATTGAGAAACTGTCAAATTATATGGGTACACTAATCGGCATGATTATTTCGACAAGTAAAATCTTCGATCACTAGCTTAAATGCGATTATGTACATCGACCGATAATTTTTAAAAATATCTATCGAATAATTTTCTGGATATTGTTGTTTTGTTCGACTGAAAAAATGCTTGAGTAATGCTTTTTCAGCTCTCAATTATACCCTGCTATAGCTAGCTTAAGCCTCTATTTTCTATAAAGCCGACCTTTTAATAGTTACATGGTAGTGGTCCGATCCAGCCTTTGCGAACATAGTAGAAGACTCTCTGAGGATCCATAGCTTTATAACTAAGAGAAAAGTAGTAATTGAAACGATGGCTTTGATCATTTATGTGATGATCATTTGTTAATTATAGCATGGGGTGATACTTGTGATTATACTTTTTAAGACTGAAACAACAAGTCCTCTCTGAGAAAGGAGTGATATGGATAAATTATCTAGCAGTATTGAAAATGGGAACAGATCCGCACAAATATAATATTTAATATTATTTTTTTTCTACCGATCATTAATAACTTGGGATCTTGAAACTTCCCTCCGATAGAGTGCAATAAAAACAATGTTAGACAAGTATTAAAAATGAAATCACAATAGCTTCTGTAAAAGTATAGACGAAAACGGGTAGGTTCTGGACCGTCTAGATTTATAATGGATTTCCATTCAATATAATTAACTTCAAGCGCTTAGCGAAAACTCAATTCATTTTGAATTAGGCCAATAAGTTTTAAAGATTTACAACTCGATTTATCAAAATATAAATGCCGACTAGTGCTAGGGCTTATGAGTAACTTACCTGTAATCTTCCGAGCACATTAATTAGTACGCCGCCATCGAAGGTTGGCTGCGAATCCACTGTGGTAATCGCACGGGTAATCTTTTGGAAAGTCAGACTCTGTTGAAACGAAGAATTTCAATATAATATGTAATACACGCTCTCAAAGTATGAGTCACACGCATCCGCCCACACTTACCTGTATTTTTTGTAAAATTTTTGTGGCACCCTGTATCTGGTGTCCCTCGAAAGTCATGAACGAGTCAGTCTCCTAAATATTAGGAACGAAATTATTAATTATGCATGGTTTTGATTCAGGAAATATATTGATAAAGCCAGTTGACTCTCAGTAAATGAATATATGTATGTACATTTGTACATACTAATCTATATATGTATATACATATACATATGTATCTACACACAGCAGACGTGTTTATATACATATGTATATCAATAGTATATGTGTGCAAAAAAATATGTTGTATGCTTGTGAAGAAGTTTCTCGAACGGACCTAACTTTGTGTTTGAGGTCCGGACAACCCCCGCCCTTGACCATCATCACAAATATTTTCGCGCGCACTTTTCATTTGGCAAGCATATATTTTAAGGTGTGCGCCTAATTTTCACAAAAAATATACATACACACATATGTATATGTACATATTTATGTAGGTAAATATGTATATTCAAGGGCATGTTGCGCGTCATCTGTGGCTATTGGCCTATTGTTGATTCATATACATAGAAAGTCTAGCATCTCATATCGTATTACATTTGGCGTGGTGTCTAGCGTGCTATGGCACGCGGTCCAGGCAGTAGCTCTACTTACGCTGTAAAAGGTTGCCACGGTATTGCGGTTTGCCGGGTTGTCAAATAGGGCATAATATTGCTGGACGAAGCCCTTGCCAATGTCTTCGTATTGTGGGTTCAATGTCATTTTGCGGCCGCTTTGCTTTTTTATGCAAGGGTCGATGTTGCAATTTAACAAAACTAATAAGTGATAAAAACAAAAGCACTGACGAAATTCCGAAAGTGGCCAATCGTCTCTCTCTAGTTGCGAAAAAAAACTAATGGATCAGCAGACAGCTCCAGGTCGCAAATCGCACATTTAGGGATGTAAAAAAACATCAATGTATCGAGCATCGAAGATGTTTTGAACACGATGCATCGATGTTTTGCCATGTTTTTTTTTCTTGCTTTTAATTTTAAAGTACACCTAATTCTGTCTTTACACGGCCTTTTCTTTATACAATAATTCTGTTTTTACACGGTAGATTGGTTCCAGAAACAACCGTGTAAGAAAATACATTGATCATATGCAAAAATAGATTTTTGGTTCCTTATCTCTAAAGAAATATATATGCCATTTATAATATTCAAACTTAATTAGTTAATAACAATAGGTAAAATAGTATGATATCTTACCTTGATGAAAACACATTTTTAATTTAAAACATATCTTTTTCTATGAAAAGTTAATGTTTGAAAACATCGATGTTTTATACGATGCATCGATTTTTTTAACAGAGACATCGATTGACATCGACGTTTCCTCTTCGACTTACATCTATATCGCACATTGACAAAGCCCAGCGGTTGTGTGCACACTGTTTAAGCCGCTATCGATAATTTTGTGAGTGTATAGCGCTGCGCACGGCCTTCGATGAAGAGTTTTCAATAGGCGTTTCGTGCGCAAACTTCTAAACGCAGCGGACTTATAGATATTAATTTTTTTTTTTCGATCATGTTAACATATGAAAATATAACGCAAATATGTCGCATCTGCCTCCGGCCATTGTTTGAGCTTAGTGAGCAGCAATTTTCGATAATACCGCCCAATAAAGACAACGCTCAATTGGCAAATCTGCTCAAGACATTTTTGGCCATTGATCTGCTGCAACAACCGGCGACATTCCCCCAGCGTATTTGTAACCTCTGTTACAGTGCCCTACTACACTTCCAACAGCTCTGCCTGGTTGCCCAACAGAGCACAGAGACGCTGACGCATTTAAGCACCATTAACACTGCCAATGACACAGCTGACAAACAGCAAAAACTGTTGATAACGGAAAATGAGCCTTGGGTTTGTATACATTTTAATGTTTATGTTTATCACTCGTTGTTGCTATTGCTGGTGTATTTTGGTTACAGTAGTGTCAGCGTTTTTACACTTGCAGGAAGACAACTGTAGCGATACAATTTCAGTGAAAGAGGAACCGTTGGACTTGGATTTAGATTTGGAATTTGAGCAGGAGGGGCATGATGAGCAGGATGGATGTATGGGTAATGAAGAAGGTGAGAAAGAACAGGAACAGCAGGGTGATAATGTGGAGGACACATTGAATGACGATTCAGCCAGTTCCACACACGCAGTTAACAATAAAAAAGGCAAACTGCTAGCATGCCAGCTATGTGGCAAACAAGTCTATAAGCTGCCCTATCTGGAGGCTCACATACGTAGCGTCCACGAAGGCCATTCCAAGCCATTCCTATGTCGTGGCTGCAATAAATCCTACACACGTTATGAACAGCTCCGCTCCCATATGCGCAACGTCCATCCAAACAGTCCCTTGGCCAACACTTCCAATGATCCTTCCGCACAACAGGATCAACCACTGGAGCAGCAGCGTCTCATTTGTGAGCTCTGCAATCGCCAATATAGCACAAAGAATGCTCTGGGCGAACACTTAAAGCGTCATGCGCAATTCAAGCAGCACGTGTGCGAACATTGTGGTGTAGCCAAAGTAACACGCACTGAGCTCCTGACTCATCTGCAAGTCCACAACCCCGACTGGCAAAAGTTCAAATGTGAACAATGCCCGCAGCTGTTCCGCCATAAGAGCGCCATTACCCGACATGTACGCGTTGTACACGAGGGCCAACGACGATATAAGTGCACCTATTGTCACAGACGCTTCGGCACTCATGCCTCACAGCTGCGTCACGAGAAACTACACGAGGGTGAGCTACCGCACCAGTGTAAGGTGTGCGGCATGCGCTTTGCAGATTTGGATCGCTTGACTACACATATGTGCGCCCATGATTCCAATTTGTGGCCATACACTTGCGTGCATTGCTCCAAATCTTGCACTACACGCCAAAATCTTGTAATTCACGAGCAACGGCATGCTAGTAAGAAACCTCACATTTGCAACACTTGCAGTCGTGGATTTATCAGCGAACTTCTCCTGGCTCAGCATAAGCAGATTCCCTGCATTGAGCGCTGCAGCAATGTGCGTACTACTGAGGACACGGAATCAGGCACAACATAAAATATACATTTTTCCTACGTTCCTTCTAAATTTTTAAAATTGTATCAAATCTGTTCAGTAAAACAACATATTTACATTCGAAAATTACTAACGGCCTTAAAAATTTAATTTGAATTAGCGGGCTCCTATCGATACGAACAATCGATAGCCATTTTATAACAAGAAACAGGGGAACACTGACAGCCGCAGGGATATTTATAGTTTATAAACATCAAGCGGATCTTTTTTCCATCAACAACTATGTATGTATGTATTTGTATATATGACCGAAAATATAAATTTAGAATAAAAAAAATTGATAATAATTAAATTTAAGAGCGATTCTTGAAATAAAAATGTACTTAATTTTCTGATACGTAAAACATAATCTAGTTTAGTGTTAAAATACACAATATTTTCATTTCATATTTCAGTGAAGTAATATTCGTAATTACTAGATAAATACATATATCACAACTAATTTAATGATAATTATGTTATTTATATCTTAATCTCAACTACTTTCAAGAAGTGAGGATGTTTTAAGAGCTTACATTAAGCCTTTTAAATTGTAACAAAATTTTAGACAACAATTTTATTGCTACACTCCAGCGTCAAAAATTTGCAAGTTTATGTGTAATGTTGCTAATTTTCTTACCATAAGGAACAAAAGTTTTCGAGTTTTCGACGGGATATAGATCCTCTTGTCAATGTGATACCGAGTGAACATCCGGCTCTGCTCTTACTTGCCGTAGTAGCTCGCCTTAGCCCAACAACTGCTGTTCATATGCTGTAGATATGCCTGTCAGCCACGAACGAGCACTCGGCTTCTGCAGCCCGGCTCGTACGACACTCTGCTACTGTCGACAGCGACCCGCAGCAGAATTTCTCGTGTGTCCGAATGAGTTTTGCTCGCATTTTACGAATCCTGGTTTACGTTAACACTATTTTTCGGTATTTTAGACTCAAAATTTCAATTTCACTTATTCTTCTTGCATTCGAGCTGATGTCCTCCGAACGGTTTTCAAATCGCAACTGGTTAGAAGGACAATTTTTTATAACTAAATTTGTGCATTGGCTTAATTCATTAAAAGTACCAAATTCTGAAAACAGCTTTTCCTTTTCTCGTTACACAAAAATATCGGTAGCGATTTCTCAGATGCAAGGTTGCTGTTCAAACGGACTTAATCGATATAATAGCATATACCCTACGAATTGCCCAGGCATTTTGGTTTTATCAAATGAACGAAAAAACCTCTTAACCATTAAAAATGTTTCCATATAATAGTATATTGCTAAATATCCAATATTATCGCCAGTAATTAAATTATTTTTAAAGTGTAAAATTGTATGTTATAATAGAAAACAGAACATTATTATGTTGATAGTAACTCGATTTATTTTATATATTTTCAAATCAGAAATTGAATCAAAAAAGAAGTACATAGATCATCATAACAATTATTAAATGATTTATGTTCAGTATTTATTCTTTCTTGAAAATATATTCATATATTTTGATGTGAAAATAGTACATATATACATATATTAAAGGTTCCGCATCAATATATAACTTTGTAGTTCCAAGCCATATAATGCTTTTAAACACTTTATATTTTAAACATTGAAATACTTCACAATTCACATAAAATTCTGTGATTTTTTTTTTACCTGATAGTTTATTTTGTGTATAAAGGGCATCTATACTTCGGGAACTGCTTTCTCCCATGTAATCGCTCGTTGCTTCATCATAAACGAAATTAATCTGAATTTTGTACACAAGTATGCGTTTTGTTCAGTTGCCATTGCAATTTGTCAGAAAACAGTCCACCGCCTTAAGCCTTTTCGCACCCGCCCTTTCAGTTCCATTTTCACCCACCTGCGATTTTCATTCGCAACAGAGCCGATTGCCGGTTTTTGCATCGCAAAGTCGTCGAGTCTCGTTAGAGAATTGCAAAATGTTGAAGTATCTCAATCAAACCGAAGCCATCAATGTGGACCAGGAGCTCTTCAGTGAGTACAAATTCAGTGTGGATCAGCTGATGGAGCTTGCAGGCCTGAGTTGTGCGCACGCTGTTGCCAAATGCTTTCCTACCGAACGCCATCGGCGCGTTCTAGTCTGCTGTGGACCCGGCAACAATGGTGGCGATGGCTTGGTCTGTGCGCGCCATTTGGCATTGCTTGGCTACACGCCCAGCATCTATTACCCGAAGCCTACGCCCAAACCGCTCTATGAGAATCTGCTGCATCAGTGCCAGCGCATGGATATTTGCAGCATCGCCGAGTGCCCAAATGTTCAGAATGCCGCCGGCTCATACGATCTCATTGTGGATGCTCTTTTTGGCTTCAGCTTTAAGCCACCAGTACGTGTGGATTTCGTACCAGTGGTCGAATTGTTGCAGCAGACGAAGTTGCCCATTGCCAGGTAATTTCATGAACATCCCATCTAAACCATCAAACTAAGACCATCTTTTATATTCCTATATAGCGTGGACATACCAAGCGGCTGGGACGTGGAAAAGGGTAAGGTAAATGAGTGCGACTTCGAGCCCAGCCTCCTAATATCGTTGACCGCTCCCAAGCTTTGTGCTAAACACTTTAAGGGCGAACATCACTTTCTGGGTGGCCGATTTGTACCACCAGCTCTCCAGGAAAAGTATCAACTCAATCTGCCGGCCTATCCGGGCAGCGAAGTATGCGTTAAATTGTGATTCTGAAATAGGCTACCTTTTTAAATAAGCCCCCAAACTTTTATACTAATAATAATTTTCCATAATTGGAAAAGTTGTTTAAATAAAATTGTGATTTAAACCCTCGGTTTATAAAACAAACTTTCGATGTCATTTATTTCTTCCCAATATTCCAGATAGAGTAATGACAATAATAAAGTTCTTAGTGTCAACACGAGTCCTGTTTCCTTGGCCAACTCGTTCCTAAAATTAAAGCAATGATTGCGGAGCTATGGATGTATCAAATAAGCCACAATCACAGTTCAACCAGAAAGTTAGTAAATAATTTGGATACAATTTGAGTTTATTAACATACAAATCTATACTACGCTTTTACTTATACAGGCGATTATAATTTTTTCGCCTTCGATCCTCTTCAAAATTGTTATTGCGTGCCCACTCTTTCAGATGGCCCTTGGAGCGTAATATTGCCGACTTGGAGTCTACATCACGCATCACAAAAGGCGAGAAGCCCGATATATAGTCCTCATTAAGAGCATTCGTTTTGGTCTTGGCCACACGCGAGGGCATCTGCCGAGGCATAGGCTGATCCTCGAAGAGTATGGGATTACGTGAATGTTTGCCGCCTTGGAAGCGCGGCAGGCTCTGATTCTTATACTTGGTCGACAACGGGCGACGCGTATTTATGTGTATGATCTGTTTGCCATTCTCGTCCAGGCTGACAGCTACACGTTTAAGCGTCTTATTGCCGCAATTGGGACAGAATGCTTTGGTCATTATGCTGGTTGTTTTGAAGCAAGCGTAGCAACGCAAAATGTACGTGCGAAGTTGTTTGATAATGCGTCCATTGAGAGCAGCCAGGTGCAGATTGAGTTGCTTAAGCACATTCTGTAGAGCGTAGTCGGTGGTCATGCACGCCACTGGTGGTACAAGGTCCATTTCTACTTTTCCTTCGAGCGCTTTCTTTGCTTTCTTGATGTTTGAATGTGTTATCCAGCCGTCGTCACCCACATCGTCGTTATCGTTGTTGTTGCTGCTTTCCAGTTCTTCTTCCTCAGGGTCGCTATCTACTTTAGGCTGTGGTACCAGCAACTCGCTGGTGTTCTGTTCCTCTTCTTCGGATGGCACACATTTGAGCTTTTCAAATAGCTTGTCCAGTTGATCCTGTGTGAGATCGTCCTCGTCTCCCTCTTCCTCCTCCTCACAAGCAATTACTTGCTCTGTATGTGTTGAGCTGGACGCAGGCTCTGCCGCCAGCGGAGCGTCTCCACGCAGCTGAGCTTCTATGGCTGCCTTCACTGAGTCCTTTTCATTGCATTTAGCAGGTTCTGCAGCAGCTTCATCTTCACTGAAGTCTTCCTCTTCGTCATCGGTGCCACTGTCAGCATCGGACTGTTCATTACCATCAGGCATATACCAGCCGACCATACGTTTATTGTTGCCATCCTGCATCTCTTCGGGCTTGTCCTTTGAGGCGAACACTTGTGAAACCACGGGCTCTGTGCGCAAATGGGCCGTGCCCACGGTGTCTGCCTCTAGTTCATAGGTGAGAGCAATTACCTTTAGATCGATTCCCGAGAGGCTGGCGTAGTCGCCCGTCTTTTTAGCAAAATCCACACAATGTTTTACACTGTCGGGGCGCGGCTCACGCACCTGCAGATCAAATGGAAGCACGCAAAGTCGGCGTATTTGGCGCTTATTCCGAACCTCGGCCACTACATCAGGAACCGTAAGAACATTGTCCGCATATTCCTAGAACAAAAAAAGAAGAAAAATACATATGTTTTAGATTACATTTGAGAAAATGGTAACGGAGTGGGAATTACATTGAGTGGCACGGCATTGATGAAAGCCGTCGTATCAGCAATTAAATACTTTATTTTGCCACTGGATTCGCTCATTTTGTGTCCGAGTTCTAATTTTATTATTATTTTGAACACTTCTTGAAACTGCACGTGTGTGACTTCTTCGATAAGTATCGATAAGCAGCTCACGTTCGGCGCGCTATCGTCATTGACATTTGCGTTGCTTATGCCGTTGCCAGGCAAGTGTTATAAGCTGCAAGTGTCACCTCTAATTTTCAACAGAAAAGGCAAAAAAATAAGGTAGTGAAGTATTTTCGTTAAATTTGCGGCGCGTTTTAATTAAATCCAATTAAAGAAAGCGGTGCAAGACAAACAAACAAAATCGTAAGTATACATATATTGCGTTTATATTGTATTCGCTTGATGGCGGCGGCCCCTGGAAATTAGACCGCGTCTATTTTGCAAAATACTACATGTGTGTTTGTATATGTATGTATGTTTGTGTGTGTTTGCATTGTTGTTGCTCCCATTAGGCACGCCATCAAATAAGGCGAGTAAAAAGCAAAGATGTGGAACCAATGGTCTGGCATGCCAGGGGTGCCGGCAGCGCCGCCGCCTCAGCCTTCTGTGCCCCCACCACTGCCCGACGCACCACCGCCGCCGCCTCCATCCGAGTCAGCGCCGCCGCCAGTCGCTGTTAGTGCTCCGGCTGGCAGCGCAGTCGGTGCTGTTGCTCCCTCTGCCTCCGCATACATGACCGCAACACCATCAGCTATGCCCACCATGACTAATCCCTATGAGCAATACACAGCGGCTCAATATGCAGCTATGACTCCAGAGCAACAGTATGCAATGCAACAACACTGGCATCAGTGGCAAACGTATCAGCAGGAATACGCTAAATGGCACGCTCAATATGGCGAACAAGTGAGTAGCTGGAAGAAAAATAAAGGTCAGTTATTTAATGCATTAATTTTGTCTATCCCTATTTAGTATAAGCGTGAAATGGCAGCCGCTGCAGCTGCAACTGGTACACCACCCGTAACAACTGCGGTCGCACCGACTGTAGCTGCATATCCGCAGCCTCAACCACAGCCAGCAATCCAACCTATGCAGCCAGCGCCAACTCAGTCACAGCCCTTTTTTGCGCCAACTATTCCAATACAGCAACCGTCTGCCAAAATAATGGCTCAACCACAAATGTATAATCAGCCGCCACCACCGCCGCCTGTTCAACAGCAGCAACCACCTCCATACCAGCAACAGCCTGGTGGTCCATGGACTCAGCAGCCACCTTCAGGTGGCAGATATAATCAAACTATAGGCAATTTCAGTCAACCGCCTCCAATGGGAAACAGCACCAACGAATCGGTTCATCCGCCGTTTCCGAATTTGCAACAACCACCACCATTTATGGGCACCAAAATGTCTGCTCCACCACAGCAGATGCCATCAAATCAAACAAAGCCATGGGCCCAGCCTCCGCCTGATAACAAATCCTTTAATAAGGGTGGAAATAAAAGTTTCAATGATCAGCATTCACGTTGGGAAGGACCTGTGGATGATAATTCCACAAATTCTGGTGGTAATCAGCTGAACACTAACAGCAATAACAACAATCAACGTCCCCGTTGGCAAACAAATGATCCAGATACGAATATGGGTGTTGGACCGAATCAGCAAGGCAATAACAACAGAGGAGGCAACAAGCAAGGCAATCGACAGAGTTGGGGAGGACGGAGCAATAATGCGCCAGGAAATACTGGTGGCAATGACGGCCCCAACAACAATGATCCCAAAAATCCTTTTAGCCGTTTTGAAAACGACGGCTCTCGTGATTTTGATAGTTCCAGTAGCTACGGAAAGTCTGGTAATTTTGGTAGCCCTGGAGACCGATCGGGATCGAATAGTTTTGGAAACAGTAGAGGAGGTAATTCTGGCAACTTTGGCGGACCTGGCGGTGGTAATTCTGACAATTTTGGTGGCCCAGTCGGGGTAAATTCTGGAAACTTTGGCGGACCCGGCGCAGGAACTCCATCTAACTTTGGAAGCTCTGGTGGTAATTCTGGAAATTTTAGAGGGCCTGGCGGTGGTAATACTGGAAATTTTGGCGGTCCCGGTGGAGATAATTCTGGAAACTTTGGCAGTAGTGGACCACGTAATTCTGGTGGCTTTGGCAATGATGGCCCTGGTAATTTCGGAAGAAGTGGTGCTCCGCGAAATTCTAGTAATTTCGGCAACAACAGCTGTAGCGGCCCTGGAAACTTTGGTAATAATGAACTCGGTCCAAATAACTTTATCAACAATGGCACACCCGGTAATTCTGGCAATTTTGGCAACAATAATTCAAATAACTTTGGTCCTGGTGGCTTCGGAAATAATCGTCGTAGTGGTGGAGGTCGCTGGGAGAACAGGCCAAATCAAAATTTTGGGCCTAACAACAGTGAAGGAGACAGTGGGGGCTTTAATCGTGGTGGTCAAAATCAACGCAATTTCGGTCAGCAGCAACAGCAGTCGCAGCAACGTGGTCCAGATCTGGATGAGGAGAGCTTTGATCGCCTCTTTGATCAGTGGGAAAAACAATTTGAGGATTGGAAACGCGCCAATGCCAATCATCCGGACCGCGATGAATATCGACGGTACGAGGAGGAGTTCGAGAAACAGCGGCGACGCATTGCCGAACGCCGTGAGCAGATGCGTCGACGTCGTCAAATGCAGAACCCTCAGCAACAGTCGATTTCTACTAACAGTAACGATTTTACACCCAATGATGGCAAATTTGGGCAACAGATGTCAGATCAAGAAGAACTGTCGGAGCAGCAGCAACGTAATCCAACAGATGTTATTATTGGTCCACAATTGCCAGGATCAGCGATTGAAGTTGACGAATCAAATCCACTTAATAATACTAAGACACATCAAAGACAAGACCACTCCCAACCAAATCCACCGCAGAAACATTCGCAACAAGACGACAACCAGAATGCGATGCCTACCAGAATACAGTTGCAGAATTTTAATAAGACCTCTCAAATGCCAGTTACTGAACCACTAGCACCACAAAAACAAGAGCAACAAATCAATCTATTGCCACACCAGCAACAATCTGGACAGTCCGCTTCTGCCACAATTCCATCATCTTCAGCATCTCCGAAAAAGGATCACGATGTTAAATCACAGCCGCAGCGTACAACGCCAATTAATCGACGGGAGCAACAACAAAAGCAGCAGGGGAAGGAAGAAGTTAAAGAGTCTACCAAGGCAGGGGAGATAGGATTGGGCAAACGGAAGAGCGATGGACCCAATACCACAACGGCACCAGCAAAACAAAACAAACAGGATAATATTTTAATAATTTCTCTTGATGATGATGACGACGACGAGGTGGTAGCAGCAGCTACGGACTGTACTGATACGCCCATGAAAAATATATTTAAAAAAAGCGATGGCATACCAGGATTGGATTTGGTCGGAGTTGGTGGCAAGGAAGGTGATTCGAACAAACAAACAAAGGACACCGACCTCTCTCCAGCAAAGAGTAATAGCGAACAGAAAAAGATTCCTTCATTGTTCGATGTGGTTATTTCCAAACCAGATAGCTCACCCAGCAATGCCTCGAAAGAGAAATCGAAACCGCCACTCGACCCCAAGGAGTTGCATGAGCAGCTAAAATCGTCAAACATCAGTTCATTGCCAGAAACTGTAACAAATGCACTGCAAGATCCAGAGTTTATGAGCAAGATGACGCAGGTGTTGGCCAAGGCACAAGGTCGCGACATCCCAGAACCTGAAAAACCGTCAGAAAACCAGGGAAATGACGGGCGTCCGATGTCTTTTGCCGAATGGCAGCGTATGAAAAAAATGGACGGTTTCAATCCTGACTCCAGTTGTCCAGGAGGTCCCAGCAACGGGTCTGGAATGGGTTCAGGTATGGGACTAGGAGGTCCTAGTGGCAATCTTGGAATGGGACCTAGAGGTCCAGGAATGGGACCAGGCGGTCCCAGTTGTGGTCCAGGAATGGGACCTGGAGGTCCAGGAATGGGACCCGGAGGTCCAGGAATGGGACCTGGAGGTCCAGGAATGGGACCAGGAGGTCCCCGCGGTGGTCCAGTAATAGGCCCTAGAGCTCCTGGTGGCGGTCCAAGCATGGGACTAGGAGGTCCTGGCAGTGGACCAGGAATGGGACCAGGAGGTCCTGGAGGTGGTCCAGGAATGGGACCCACTAATGGGCCGCCTGGATTTAATCCAGCTGGTGCCAATTTCGGTCCCGGATTTAATGGACCTCCCGGGTTTAATCCACATGGTCAACATTTTGGAAATGCTGGCCCTGATCGTTTCGGGCCGAACGGTCCTCAATTTGGACCTGGACCTGGGCCAAATGCTGGTCCGAATTTCATGGATTTTGATCCAAATAATCAAAGCCTTGGACCAAACGGACCCAACTTTAATGACCGGCGAAATAGTTTCGGTCCCAATTTCCGTGGCAATGGGCCGCCCGGTCCTGGACAGTTCGGCCCCAACTTTCCGGGCCCTAATGGATCTGGACAAGGTTCCAATTTTGGTTTCGGTGGACCCGGACCTAATTTTGGACGCAATTTTGGGGGGCCCAACAATTCGAATTTCCCCGGTCCAAATAATAACTCTTTTGGAGACAACAACCCATTCAGACGCAATGCCGGCCCCCCTGCGCCCATGTTTGATGATGATGCACGCGGAGGAGGTGGTAATGGTCCAAGTCCGAACATGGGTTCCGGCTCACGCGCCAACAATCAGAAGAATTTTGGACCACCTCGGAATAGCTTTGGCAATGGCAACAAAATATGGTCAGATGGGTATGTGTCTTAAATATCGCTAAGTTCTTCGGCTATATTTTCCATTTAAATTATACTTTTTATCGGGAATGCATAAAATATAATTTTGTCCGTGTGTCAGTAGCGGAAACAACAACATCAGAATGCAAATGGGTTGCAATGTCCGTTACGCCTCAGTCCGCTTAAAATGTCTGTGTTTCTGTATTGGAACCGGGCCATATATAGGCATCACAAATTTATTCAATTGATGTCTCTTAATACGTTTGCAATATGTCTAAAATAAATTATCATTTCATATGTATCTGAATGTATTTTAAATGGCTTACACTTTTAAGTCAGAATTGTGTTGAAATCCGTAACTAGCCTAGCCCATTAATGTCTGTAACTTAAACACCTTGGAGCTATCTGGGTACATCGATTTTTGATAAGGATATAATTTAATTATTTAAGCATATTGCTCTAACGTTTGAACTTGATTGAATTTATTTTGCCATATTCTTATTTCAACTACTCTTACTATAGTTATGAGATATGGGCTAATGCATTAAAAGTATGACCTTGATAGAACCAAGTAACAACAATCTCCCAGACTTGTCATAATAACAACGATGTAGTGAACAAATGAATTGAAAAGACTGTCTAATAAATCAAACCATTCTGTGAGGAACAGGCAACTTAATTAAAACGAACTGTAACCGATTAGCGATTCCTATTCTTGATTGCGTTGCTGAGAACTCTCTAGAACCCAATAGGTCCAGTAATTAAGTGATATTATCATTATTGTTGAAATAATAATAATGGAATTTCTGTTGAAATAGCGTTGAATACTCTGAATAAAAGAACAAGTTTTGTTTGATAAAAAATTGTACACATATGTATGTGTATCATTGTATCATATATTATAGTAGGTGTGTCACACATCCTGCATATAGACGTTAATGGGTTAGGCGATTGCACATTCTGTGCCGTGTCAGTTCATCTAAGAACCCGTCCCCTCTCTCGCACTCTCGTTCTAGTAGCATACATATGTTCTATAGTAGTTACAAGTCCTGGCTAATTTCAAGTCTCTTTGTTAATGCTGGAATTTCGATTCCATACCCGTTTTCTCTTCTCTTCTACTTTTATGCACAAAAAAAAAAACCAACCAACACAAAACGGCTTTGATTGTTTCCATTTGGTTGATCCATTGAATCGCATATAAAAAAAATGTTTTTTTTTTTGTTTTTTTTTATATTAAATTAAATAAAATTATGTTACTGTCCTTCTGTGGTCTGCGTGCGCAGCAGCAGCGACGGAAGCAGAAATCACGGTTTCGCGTCCCAAACTCAGAACAAAGCCAATGTCAAGAACAAAAACCAAAACCAAAACAATAACAGGAACAGTAGCAGCTTTAGAAACATGCAGCAGCAGCGCGGACCCAAGTAGAGGGAGCTCAATAGATGATTCGAATCGATTCGATTTGGGACTCGTTTCGTTTCGCTCCCCACCCACACGTCATGTCAGCAATTTAAGCAGCGCCGTCAGCGGATGCACATAAACTACACATTCAAACATAAACATTACACACACACAAAACCAATACACATTCACACACGCACATCAAATATATATAATGGTCTTTAGCGTTTATTTTTTAAAATATTCTTTAGTCCTTTCTGTATTTTGTGTTCTTTGCTTAGTCTAATGCAACAATTAGCTGCGTTTTTTTCGCCATAATTAGTTATATTTCTTTTCTTTTTTTTCATTTTGCAACAATTAGCCGCGTTTTTTTCGCCACAATTGTGTTTTTTTTATATAATTTTTTATTTTATTTTTGGTATATTTATAGTAAATTTTTTATTTGTTTAATTTTGAAAAACCAGTGCCGGAATTGAATTTGTAATACAGAATTGCATCGAAAAACCGCAGCTTGCTCTTTATCGTATTAAATCTTATATATGGCGTATATATATAAATACATATATGCGAAAAAAACACACACTGAATATTGAATAAAAATGTTTATAAGTTTAACAACCATAAGCAACTACTGCGAATGTATTACCAATTACTGTCCATTCAGTTATACTGCACGGGCTAAGATCAAAGAGCTGAAGCTCGTATGTTCTCCATGTTCATGAATTAGCTAACATCATTTCCTCTATAAAGCATCTGATTCCCTCACCCGTACCGTTTCCCCTCCATTATCAAATTTCCCCGCTTAGGAAACATTACAAATTACATGCCCGGAATATTAATACTTTTTCTTCAAATCGTGCACATTGTAAGCTAGATATGGATTTAAAAAATTAACTCGTAGGTGCTAAGTTAGCTCAGATTAGTAGGCACCATATAAGGAAAAGTTCATTTCGCGAACCTTGTCCGTTTGTTGGATTTTAATGACTCTTGGTCTGTCTGTCTGACTATATGCCATGGGATCTGATAACTAGTCCTCTAATATATAATCCCGCTTAAGTTATTATGCCTTATATGAAAGAAATATAAACAAATATCATTATTGCTTTGGAAAATGTTTGGATAAAGGAATCCTGTAACATGTCGAAGCTCCTTACAACGGGCCAAAAATATGTTTCAGTGATGCAAATGCGTTTTGTTATTCAAGTCAAGGTATCTGGCATGAAGTTATCTGCCGTGTAGGCATCTGACGTCATTTATATAACTTCTCATTTAATACGGCGGACAAAGAATTGCTTTAAAAATAAGCTCTACACTATAACTATAACAGTTTAGTGTGAAATATCTTAGGAAGATTAAAATAATGTCCAATTCGAACTGCCTGGTTTGCGAATTATTTAATTAACTGCCCGTGCAACAACTAGTTCAATTGTCTGCTAAAATATTGGAAAGCCACTCCCTAGGTTATTGCTTAAGAATGCCTATTCTGTAAGGGGGTTTTCCATGGAGAGTCCCCTACGCCTTCCATATATCTGATAAGTGTGCTATGATGATCATGAACATTGATCGTTGCTCTCACGTTCAATCCCGTGTCTGTTTTTGTGGCGCAAATAGTGAAAAGTCTCAGTAGTGTACAAGTACTTTTACCCCAAAACCAGACGCACTGCAGCTTTCTTTTATAGCTACAGCGACACTCTGAAAACCAATAGGCACTTGCTTAACTTGCATACATGTACAAGTACTCGTATATGGATAGAGCTATAGTCATAAACATGTTTGTCCAAGTCCGAAACAATAAGTAAAAGTTCAAGTGTTTTCTCTCTGGCTGATATTGACATTCAATCAATCCAAATAAAACGAAACAAATAAAAAAAATGTACCAAAACAAATTGCGTCCTCCAATGCGTCATGCGTCCACGTTACAGTGCCGATAACGCCAATGTCATCCCCAATGGGCCAGAGGACAGCATCTACCGTCCCATGCAAGTGTTCGACTATCAAAATAGTAACACGGCCCCCCAGGTGTTTGAATATGGACATAAGTCTGCCGACAGTGGAGATTTTAGACCTGTGAAGACCTTTGATTACGGGCATGCATCGCGTAATATGCCAGTTGGAGGAGGGCTCGGAGGCGGGGGCGCAGCAGCAGCGTCAGCAGCAGGAGGAGATAGAGGACATGCAGGACCAGGTATAATGAATCGAAATCCCAATAAAAAGAGAAACAAAAAGAGAAATAAGAAGAACCAGCAAAGGATGCAGCAACAGCAACCGAATCCACAACAACAACAAAATTCACAAGATCAAGCCCAACGGCAGCAGAATTCACAAGACCCAGATCATCAGCAACATAATCTACAAGATCAGCAGTCAGAAACCACCAGCGAGGTAAGCGATCTATATTCACTGATACAGCTGATGTGTAGCTTATATACTCCTTAAATATTTTGTTATATACTAATATGCTCTATACTTGTATGTTTTTAATTAGTCCAATGCAAGAGCACCTTCAATTGAAGACGAGCTGGAGGATATATCCGATGGTGAAGAGTAAGTATTGTTACTAGTTAATATTCAGATATAGAAACGCCTATTTAGACGCATATATAACCTAACATTTTCCTGCATTGTTATTTGTATTGCAGCAATTTGGTGGACAATGGCTTGCAGCAGGACACTCCGCCGCCACCACCATCTGTCAGCTGGCAGAAACCAAACCAACAGCAGCAAACCAAAGCATTCCCAGCAAATCCGCAACGTCGTATACTTACCCAACCGTCCACCTCCACACCCACTGCGATCTTCCCTTCGACGGCTGCGGCCAATACACAAATACCCAGCAACCAGAATGCTTGCCATTTGGAAATGTCAATACCCACAAATGAGAATCGTAACACCATCTCAATAGATGAGGTCCTATTGAAACCCGGCCGTATGTCCCGACCCAAACGCATCTGCGTCATTTTGCGGGGTCCACCCGGGAGTGGTAAATCCCATGTGGCAAAGCTGATCAAGGAGAAGGAGCTGGAAATGGGTGGTCCTAATCCGCGTATTTTAAGTATTGACGATTACTTCATTATTGAAAATGATTACGAGGAAAAGTGTCCGAAGACTGGCAAAAAGGTGAGCAAATAGATTGGAAGATGGGTGCTCGCGGAATCTATAATCTTTGCCTGTGCGCATTGCAGATACCCAAAAAGGAAATACTTTATGAATATGATGACACAATGGAGGAGACTTATATGCAGTATCTGATCAAATCGTTTAAGAAAACACTTAGTGATAATCTATACGATTTTATTATTGTTGACTGCAACAACAACTCTCTGCGTACGCTCAATGAGTTCTATTGTAATGCCAAGGACTCAAATTTTGTGGTAAATATATAACATCATTCTATTTGCATTTATGTGCATATCTAATGTATCTATCTGTGTTTTCCAATTGTATTCCAATGGAAATTCTGTTGGACCGCTATTAATTGTATATTAATAGGGTCTTCAAAAACCATAGTTCTTCATAATAATATTTGGTTAATTGTTGTAATTGCTAACCAACTGTTAGAGTATCCCATAAATTTGTCTACAGATTTTCGTATCGTATGATGCAATAGCTTGTTCCTGAAAATGGGTAACAATGTTACATTAGTGTTAAAGGCACACGGGATGTACCGTCCGTTTGTCTGTCTGTATTAATACCAGGAACTTTTAACCGCCAGGCCAATGTAGTCTTCTATTATACATTAGTAGATTCATTTTTTTGTCAACGATCGCTGCAAATATCACTCTCAATAGAAATAAATATGTTTTTTGTTTGCTCATCTCATCAATTAACTGGTGTGTTTAGTTTAGTTAGTTTGGAATGTGACTCAGAGGAAACTTTCGATAATCGCATGAAAGCATTTTCCCCCCTCTCCTTCTCCTTTTCACATAACATGCATCAACTATCTCTTTCTCGCACTGCAGCCGTACATTGTTGACATGCATTGCGACCTGGAGACCTGCCTCAGCCGCAACATCCACGATCGGAGCGAGCGTGACATACGGGCTGTCCTGGACAACTGGTGTACCACGCCCTTCCACTACATAAAGCTGGATGTGGGCTCACTGCTAGAGAATGTGATCGAAATGGAAGATGTTGAAAATATGGCTACGGTAACTATGCGCTAATGCAGTGCTTCTCTTCCAGTCTTGAAGAGCCGTTCGTTCATCTTGTCTGCAGCTTGTGTTATCGCCTTGGAGAAATGCGAGAACAGTTTGTGGGTGTATCCCCGGTGCTGGGCGCATTCTCCTGGGACTCTACGCACGCTGCAGCCGATGATGAGCGCTCGATATCTTCATCTTCTTCAACATCTACATGTACATGTACTACTTAAAGATTGTTAACTTAGCTTTAAAACTTAGTTTAAGTTGGGCACTGTTACCTGTTTCTCTATTTTGATTACGTTACGGCTTAAGCAAATTCTAAATTGCCTCCAATGGCTACTCTTATACGTATATACAATCCATACATACATATACTATTTACTATATGTCTCACTGCCAGACATATTCTAGTTTAAGACATATTCTGCCCTTACAATTTTCTTAAAGAACGAAAACACAAAAACAAATACAAGAAAAACTGGATTACTAGGCACAAGCGATATTATGTAGCTTATGCAAACAAAACAGTTGAATTACACCTAAAGTAAATGCTAAAGAAACAACGACAAACTATCATCAAAAATATATACCCATATGTTTTTTTTGACAAACTATCACTCGCGTCTACGAGTGCACAACTTTTTGCCACCCACAAGTTTTATACTAAAAGCTGGGAGTTGTTCATTGCAGGACGACAATGCCATTAACGAAGATGATCCCGAAAATTCCAGTCAAGACGCTGTTGACGCCACAGATGCCGCTGAAGAAGACAACAGCAATAGTGCCGATGCGTCGAACGTCGTAAGTGTTGTCTCTAAATTTTCTCTTTCTAGTGGGCTGTATTTCGTATTATATCATTTCATATTATCTTTTTGTTTTTGGTGCGACTAATCAACTCAATTGATCTGTTTTTGAATTCTTGTACATGTGTGTTCTGCAAAAAAAAAAAAAAAAAAAAAAACCAATAAAAAATATAAAATAAAATAGTGCGGCTTCTTAAAAAGCAAATGGGAAAGCGACACAACTGAGGAGAATCTTGGTAAGTATATATGTAGATAAACCATAAATGGTTATCACTTATTTTTATTAGCTATTTATATAAATGCGAAACAGACCAGGGAATTGAAGACAATAAAAAAAGGGATCCTTGCGAGGCAAGTTGTAGATCTTCCTGTTCTTAAAAAATGATTCTTTTTACGAGCTATCAGTTCTACAAAATTAGAAGCCTCTTGTTATTCCTTGTGCTGCTACTTGTAAACATAACTTAAGTATAATGGTACTACCCTGGTACTGATATGTACTGGGAATAAAACTAATGTTTTAATTTAAATATTTGACTTGGCTTAGTTTCTTTCTTTTAAACCCGAAAAATTTATCTTTGCCATATGAATGTTTAATGCTAAATTTTGAAGAATTCCACTATAAAATCGAATAGCTTAAGAAATTAATTTTAGTTTTTAGCTTCTTTAAAATGATGTAATTTTCGTTTCCCCGGGAACTTATAAAGTGGCAACCATTTAATTTTAATCATTTCCAATACATCATTTATGCCGAACGCTAACATGCCGTTACATCTTTTCTAGCTCGCCTGGACGGCACGAACCGACTTAAGCGCAAAACGGCCAGCATGGCCGATTATTTGCAGCTAGATGATTGGGAGCCGCCGATACGCACTGCCGATGGAAAGAAACGCGTAAGCAATAAAAGCCCCATTGCCGCCTACGAATTATGCTATTAATGAACATATGAACCAATTGCAGGTGCGCTGGGCAGACATTGAGGAGCGTCGGGCTCAGCAGAAGATGCGCGCCATTGGCTTTGTGGTCGGACAGACTGACTGGAAGCGTATGATGGATCCGAATGCGGGCAATCGTGCGCTGAATCGAACCAAGTATATCGAGCGTGTGAACAAGCGACGCTGAGAACTGAACATACATGTATATATATCATATATACATATATATATATATATATATATATATATATATATATATATATATATATATATATGTATATATATATATATATATGTATATATATATATATATATATATATATATATATATATGTATATATATATGTTTACATACTATATGAACACAATTCACATATAATAGGCGTTCCATTCGATTCGATTAGTTTAGTTTAGTTGCTACTTTATTTCGCCCTGTTGCCCAATACATTTCTCATCTTTTGTTGGCTTAACAACAAAACATTTAATAGTTTTCATAAAACATGCATCACACACACGTACATATGCATGCATTTGAAGAGTTCAAATGGGTTGCAGGGCTGCATTTAAAATAGTAATTATAATATTAATAACTAATTTGAAAACTGAACAAGTCTCCCATGCCAGTCACGAGACTCGGCTGCGACTCACCTTACTTAGTTTAAAGTTTAAAGCAGCGCTTGTGCTCTGGCACTCGACTTGGATCGGTTCAGCGTTCGGTAGCAGCTAAGGACGATTAAGAAATGTCGAACACACATGAAAATATCTCATAGACACAATTTGGTATATTACATTAATATAGACATTTTCATGAAATGGATACTCCCCTCTTTTGTTTTTTTTAAATATTTGTTTTAAATTGTTTTCGTTTTTTTTTTAATTTTCTTAGTTTTTTGTACCAGAAGTATGAATAAAGTGAATTTTACAGCGATTACTTGTTCATATTTTGCCGTGGACGCAAGTTTTAAACGCAGCATATAGAAAATATAGATTAATATATAGTTACGTATAATAGCATGTATGTTTGAATTACATAAGTATATTTAAAATTTAAATGAATTGAAATAAATGAATTTTTAATGTAAAAACTTTGTTTAGATTTGCAAATACTTTCATATATGGGAGTCCTGTATTTTTTCAGCCCATATAAAAAACGCAATAAACATTATTTTCTTAAATGTCTTATAAGGATTTTTAAAACTTTATTGTTATTGAAGAGTTTTCTTCTACTTTTATAAATATTTAAATGCTCTTTAAGAGACATTGTTTTAACGCATTCAGAACACTAATTTATATATTTTGGACCACATATTCTCAGACAGGAACTTCATACACACATCTGCGATCTAACTATGTAGGTATGGTGTATTACTATTAAGCCAACCAATTAGCAATAAGTACATAGTTCAATGAGATTTCGTTGTGTCCAGCTGATTTACTGGCTAGTTTGATTTGTTCCAATCAGCTGTATGTCAGCTGTTCTGCTTAAAAATACGCTAGTTGAGCGACCCGAACGAGCAATTACAAACATTCGCATTGTCTTGTATATTCCTGAACATATTTTGAAGGCAACTGAAATCAGACGGCGTCATAACTTCGGTTTTGGGCGGCGGCAGGCGATCGGCTGTGTGGAGCATGTGCTTCAAGTATTCCCCTCCCTACACTGAATTGTTGACCAGCGACCGACCAAACGAGCAACTTGCTGTGGAAGTTTGAACAATAGAAACTGGTTGCTAATTTGTTCATATTATATTGTTTGTTTTTTTTTTTGTCCCCCCCATAAAAGGTTTAGATAATTGAACCATAAAGTTTTCCAAAGAGAAGTTTTTAGACACGCGATGGGCGCTGACGTTAAATATCAACAAATTTCACCACAGCGAATGTTATATTGGCTAGCAAGTTTAGGGCAGGTCACCCATATTTATATCTTGGGCCAAAACAAGTCACCACATGCGCATGGAGTGCGTTGAAAGCTTCGTGCATGTGCGGGTATGGTTGTGGGTGTTGGCGCTAGAGATGGGAGTGTTCGGCCTGAACGTGATGTTTTAATGCTGGATTCGAAACTTTACACAGCTCTTTTATTTTCAGTGTGAATTGAAAAGAAAAACAATAATGAAGACATCGCATTTAAATCGTTTTTGCAGCAGAGCCTTCACAAATGCAATAACACAGTTTGAAGAACGACAAACAAAAAATGTATATAATTTGTTATGAAAGCAATAAAAACATAACTTAAAATGAAAACATTATTTGAATTTTATTGAAAAATTTACACAAAAAATAAGGAAATGTTTTGAAATACAAAAAAAAAAACCTTTAGAACTGAAATCTTTTATTATGATGTGATTTTGTCCCCCTTACGACAGATTTCAAATAAAGAAAAGATTTAGAAAAAAAAACAATTTTCAGCATATAATAATTAATTATCATTTCCTAGGAAATGAGATGTTGGGCTATTTGAAAAATCTAATCTAATGTCAATTATTTTCCAATAAACTCATTTTGACAATAAACTGGCAATTGTTCAAGGAAATTCAATCCATTTTATTTAACCTTATGCCTTATCGCTGTTATGTGCGGCGCGGCAGTATTGGGAAACCACAAATGTCGTCGGACAAAAGGAGTGGCAACTCGCGCGATTGGCAGCTGGAGCGGGCCGATAACAAGTACTCGTGCGTGAGGGGTGAGGACCAGTGCTACCAATTAGGAGGGTTGCAAAGTGGGTAAAATAGCAATTCCGGGGGAATGGCAAGTCGTGGCCTTAGGGAAGAAGAAAAATCAATTGTGGACAGTGAGCGAGAGACACGTGCTATTGCGGGAAAAAACAAAAAAAGAGACAAAATAAGCGGAAGACAATATTCAAACACCGGAGTGACGACAGGAGGGTTGGGATATACACCAGCGAGGCTTCATAGGCAGAGGAGTAGCAGTAACTGCGGGCGTTCTGGGAAGTGCGCTGTGCGCGGGTCAGCACCGACCGGCAGTACTGGGTCTTAGGCCGGACCTCGGCCCTAGCGGAAGTCAGGCCAATTTCCATGCAACTGGAAGTCTGGGCTAAGTACCCTTCAACATTAAAATACTAAATATTCACACACATTCCGCTCAAACATAGAACCAAAATTGTATATACACCCTACATACATATACATAGCCATCTCACATACACCAGTGCAGCATATAACACAAAATTCAACTAAATACTCACACATATTCCGCTCAAACATAGAACACAAAATTTTATATACACCACACACTCCTTTATATACACTCCATACATGTTCACATACACCATATTCAAACACACACCGAATTTCCATAGCACTCAGACTCACATTCATCCCATAGCCACATAATGTAAAATACAAAACAAAAAAACAACACACAAAACAATTAACAATTTTCTGTTACACACATAGCCCAAACCATTCACAACATAATATAAAACATTAAACAGAAACACAACACCAAACAAGTAACCATATTGTAAACAAAAATTCAAATGTATACTTAAGAAAAAAGAACATAAAAAAAAAAGAAAAGTAAAAGAAAATGTATAAAGTCTAATATAAGCAAAAGAGGTTGGAATGTGTATTGGAGCGGCGCAGTTTTTTTTTTTTGTTTATCTCCTTGTCATTACATATCATTACACCCCTCATAACCACATACTCGAGTATAGGTAGGTTAGGAGGTTCGAAAATCGAATAAGATAAATAGGCACAAAGAGCCAACAAACTGCAGCGTCCCAAAACTCAATGGCCTAAATACCCGAATATATTTTTATTGTAATAAAATTTAAAATTTGAAAATGAGTCTGGAGTAGAATCCATTTATGGGGTGAGATGGGGTGACTAAAGTCCCGGAGCAGAAGGGAAACCAAAGCAAGCATGTTGAAGGGAGCCGGCAACAAAATGCCAAAACCGGCTCAAGGTAGGGAGGGCCACGCGGCTACATGACACCAAAGTAGCCACAACTCCACCCAAATTCCACAGGCGTCCCTCAGCCGACAATATGAGTAGGTGTGTTTGATAAAAAAATATAAATTCATTGTTGGTCTGCCGCACCCCTGTCGCGGTCGAATCTGACCCTGAGCCGATGGCTAGCCGGCGTAACGACAGGGGATGCACTGGCAAAGGCGGACATAACAAGATGGCGCCCAATATAAATACACCTGGGTCTACATTTTAGCAAATGTTGCCCCAGTTCGAAGCGAAGTTAAAAGCCAGAGTCTTGTTGTTTGTTTTTTGTGTTGATTTGTATTCTTTATTTAGGTTTACATGTAAATTTCAACAGCAATAGCTGCTGGCGGCCCCTGAGCCGGCGGGAAACGGTGCAACTGCCAGGTCCGTGGGTGAGCTTCACTAGGGCTCAGCCCATCGTTGCCGCAGTTGCATCTTTCTTACAGCGCGGTGTAGGTTGGTAACCAGCAGAATAGGCGCAGCGAAGGAGCGAGTGTAGCAGGTCCGTGAGGAGTCTTGGTGCCCACTCATTGTTGCCCTACAGGGTGCTCTGAGGCTGGAAAGATAGAGAGTAATGTCTGTCAGGTGTTAAGTAAAGAATAGTATAGTTGCCTTATGTTTTTTTTGTGTTAGTTACCGTTTTTTTTTGTGGTTGTTTGGTAGTTCTTATGAATGGTTGCGTAGTAGGTCCATGTCCTGTCCCAAGCGGAAGGAGCATCGTTGCCCTACGTATCAGAGCATAGGAGCAGCAATTCGCCATAGCCCGAGCAAGATTTGAGTTTTTAGTAGGCGCCTGGAAGAAATTGGGTGGTGTAAAGCGTGCGATACATATGTGTTTGTTTTGGTTGTTTACCTTCTACAGTGACTGCGTGCCGTGGTGCAGCGTCATACTGAGGATCCTCATCTCACCCTTACATGTCTAGTGTTGAGCCTGTGAGAGTAAAGAAAGATTGTTTTGATTTATGCTATTGTCAGTTAGTGTATTAATTACCTTTTATTTATTTATTTGCGTAGCAGCAAATAAATTATCAATAGACGGGGAGTCCATTGTGAATGGTCCCGGTCAAGCACAGCTGTTCCTGGGCTGAACCATCGATATTAATAAGTATCGACAGGGTATTTTGGCACAGATTAGCAGGTCTGTGCATAGGGCGGGAATTTGAAGTTCAACTTATCGTTAGTTTGTTTTTTTTTGGAGTAATTTTTTTCACTTAGTATTTTTTTTGTTAAGTCTTTT